CCCCCCCCCCCAAGAAATAATTTTATTAAAAAATTCAGGATGATACTGTAAAACTACAGGAATTCACAACCTTGCACTGCTCATTTGTTTTTACTGATTTTTCTGGCTTCCATCGCTGTTGAGTGTTTTGAAAGAATGTTAACACACACAAATCTGCCTGGAGCAAAACCCAGCATTGATTCTGCTCTTCATGACCCAGCATAGGGCTGAATCTGAAATTATTTTTAGCGCTCATATTTTTACCTCTCTTCCACTAGTTGCAGATGCTGCATGGCAGTAGCAGGACTGTAACTCTGCTTTTGATGCCAGCAGAACATTTGTAATTTGGGTGTTCAATTAAAAAAAGAGAGCTTTGTGTTTTTGTTTTTGGTTTGTTTTTTTTTAAAAGAGGGTAGTGTTGATCTTGTCATCCACGATCTTGTCCACCTGAAGGCTGCTTCGATTTCTCCTCTGACACAACATTTCCAAGCTCAGAGATCGGCCTTGCGAGGACTGTTGCCATTACCTTAGTGGTGCCACCTTGCTGACTGGGACCAGGGCTCCATTGTGTTGGGCTTTGTACCGGTAACGAGCTCAGTAGTAAGAGGGGCATGAGGAAGGGGAGGAGGATGGGAATGGAGGTGTGCAGTGGTTGGTGTGACAGCGACAGAGAGTCATTTTTAATGAGCAAGTGGAGGACAATGGTGCAGAAAGAGAGCAGCAGGGCCTCCTTGCTCTTGCATGCCTCTAAGGGACACTCGTGTTACCCGCATCTTCAGGTGCGCGTCCTCCCATTCTGTGACTGCCTGCCTCCCACGAGCTGTGTTTGTGCAGTAAAAGTGCTGGAAGAAAGAATGTGGTTTTAGTAAAACACCCGTGCTTGAAAGCAGCAGTCTGATACTCCATGATTACTGGACCTGTGGATTTTCAGTAGCAGGGAGTCCACAGTCAGAGCAGTGTCCCACTCAGGGCATGATGTTTGTACCCTGAAGCCCCTTTCTCCCTGTCCCTACACCATAAAAAAGCTGATTTACCTTTGATTTTGCACCTTGTGTTAATTTGGAAGTTTCTTGTTTGACTGTCCTCAGTCTTACTGTCACCTGGAAAAAGTAATAAGACTGGGTAAAGAAAAAATTGCACTGAATTATGGTTCCCACAGGAGACTCGAGTTACTGTGAGATGCTGAAGTGCTCTTGTCCGGGGTGTGGATGTCTGTGGTGAGAGAACTCCCTAAACCATTATGTGCCTCCTCTGTTGACATGCTGTGTTTCCAAAGGCTATGCCCTTCTCTTTGTTAATTCTAATTATTCCACTTTTTTTACCATCTGATTTAACTCTGACCAAGTCTGATTTAACATTGCCTGTTCTACTTGTTTTGTCTTACACAGCTGATACTGGCATTCTGTATGTTTGGGTTGTTCCCCCCCCAAGGAGTACTGTGCATCCTAGTTTAAAGCAGTCCTTGAAATCTAGCAGGTAAGTAAATTATCTTTTTCTAGAGACGCTCTAAATCCAATTAGAAAATTACCCTCTGGTAGATGGCGAAGGTACTTGCCTGCCCAGGTCCCCTAGAACATAGGTCAGTGTCGTAATTGCTTACTTACAGTACCATAGTGTCTAATGATCTCAGACAGGATTAAATCACGGGAATAATGTTGCATGATGCTGTAAAAAATAATTAGATAAGGTATGCTTGGGTGACTATGAAATGTGCTTGAGCAGGGAAGCAATATGATTATCTTACCTACAAGTGATTAAGTTTCTGCGGATGGTGTTACGTGAGTTGCTCTATCAAAAGTGGAATGTTCTTCGCAGCACTAAATGTGCTTGTTCCTGTCAGCTGTGGCTCTAATGGAGGAATATGGCTTGCTTACCTGGGGTGCTGTGGCTGTGTACTAGCTGTGTTTGTACCAATGGCATTAAACATTATATTCTGAATGCATTTCCTTCTCTTGTAGCAGGTTGCTTTGGTCCTGCAAGTACTGAAGAGTCCTTACGTTAAATGCAAGTGCACAGCTGTCATTTTTTGGGGTTTTTTTTTACCTTTAGTTTTTAAAGATGCCAGGAAGTGTTTTGTCAGTGTGTTAGAGAAATGGCTGGGAGAACATACTTGATTCATTTTGTAAAGGAAAACCCACCATATTTCTAG